GGAAGTTTTCTCTCCCCTCCCTTTTATTTTGGTTTGGGTTTTTTTTTGGGGGGGAGGGGGGGAGGGTCAGCCTTGCGTGCAGCGCAGAGCTTTGCTTCGCTGCAGGCTGTCCCTCAACCCTGGGCGCGGGCTCTCCTCCCGGCGCTGCTGACAGCGGGGACGGTGGCCGAGATCAGCGGCCAAGTCCGTGAACTCGGTTACCCAGAAGCAGTTTAAAGTAAGTGATGCACTGTAATTCAGTCACTGCGCAAAATTCCCGTACGTGGAGAGATCCCCACACTTACAATACAATTATCAAGTGTAGTTATTTGCCTTGGTTGTTAACACATCTCTCATTGCTTGCCAAAAACGCTCAAACAGCAGAACAGTATGCGCTTTGCAAATGCAACAGCTTTGTGGTCACACTCCCCTTACTTCCCCTTCTGCCAACTGCCACAGGACACCCCTTCCTTACCCCGCCGAGGACATTCCTGGCACAGAGAGGTGCTGGGGGAAAAATAACCTCTTGTTAGTGTTTTGCACTTGTTTGATTATTAGCTTTGTAAGGGGTCAGGCCTGTGTGCGTGTGAATCAGGAACAGTATTTGCAAAGAAACAGCTGTCTATCTTGATATCAACAAGCGGAGGTGAAGGTGTTCACAAGAAGGGAGATGCAGAGCCATGGACTGGGGCTCCTAAGATCTTGTAAAATGTTCTCAAAAGGTAGCGATGAAAGTCCTTCAAAAGGACTGTGTATTATCTTCAGTGAAAGATTAGTGTGTGGGTAGCTCTGCAAGTATTTAAATCTGAAAAAAAAAGTATTTGGTTTATGCAAAATAGATGCTACTGAACGTGAGGATTTTAAAACAAGTTAAAGCCTCGCAAGACTTCTGTACTCATGACAAGGTCATCCCCCATTCCTCATTCCTCCTTTTTTCTGTGGTTAACACCACCTTTCCTTCCCCTTGTATGCGAAGCTACTATTAACTACAAGTACAGATTTGCCTCTGAAGTATTTCCGAGGCTGCAGCAAGTATACATTCCATTTTTATCTTCATTTCTCACTACACCACTGCTTTGCTTGCTCATATCCCAAATTGCTACAATATAAAAACTGAGAAAAGGTTCCTGCTAAGAAATACTGTCTTCTTCTACCTCAGCGTAAAGTGTTCTTGAAATTAGTCTAGTCCAAGTCTCAAGACAGCAATCCTGAGCTCTAGGCTAATGATGAGATTAGGAAATACTTCCCTATTAATTATTAGAAATAGCAACAAATTTATTTAACATGTGGAGATCTGAGAACTCCTTCTCTCCAGTCATACTCAGCACTCCCATTTTAACTACAAGATGTAATTTAGCATTGCAAAATTCTCATAAACTGAAAGCCTATTTTTGGATCCTGTAGAGAGATTTCCAGACCGTTACATATAAATTCTGCCCCTCTGTCTATAGTTGGAAGGGCAAATATAACAGTGTGGGAAAAATAGTGCCTGTAACTTTTCAAAATAAGAATATTTCAAAATTAGGATGAAGTCTCCCTTGTCCCCCAGTAAAAGTTAAATGTAATAAAAAATAGTGAGTCATTACTGAGGGTTGGGTTTTTTTTTTCAGGAAAAATGCACAATTCACTTAAAATTTTTATTCTAAGCTTGCATAGACAAAATATTATTGTCACCTACGTGTTAGACATGCACTTAGCCCTGCTCTTGAATTCCCACCAGAGCAGACATTGACTACAGAGCAAGTGGGGTTGGGCCCTGAACTGATTGGTTTGTGTCAATTTTTTTTTGGTGTCACTGTAAATGAACTTTCTCAAATATAGGAACAAAGTCACAAGTCTCTCTTGTTTCTCAACATACATTTTTGGTCCAGGTCAATGATAATAGTTTAACAATTGCGTACAACCCCATTTCATTTTTGTGTTTTTACTATGAATAAATGCATAATTTCGGACAGAAAAGGCACTTTTAAGTTTGTAAGCATCAGAACCACCTTAATCTGAACATTGCAAGTGTTTTCCCCATACTTTGGCTTAAAGCCAATGCTTTAATGTTTTGCTGCAACATTCACATTTCATTATTTTTCAGTGAGAAATGTTACATGATACAAATACTCTTCATTAGCTCTGCGTTTTATCCATTATGCAGTTCTCTTCATCCTGAACGAGATGATTTGCTTAACTAGCATATGATTATATTTCAGTAACTACGAGGATTAGACATGCATCATTTTTCCAACTGCTTGGCAAGAGAAAAATACAGCAACAAGCAAAAATAAACATGTGAAAGCTGCCCAGTGGAAAGGTGTTTAAAAAAACCCGTTGTCCTCTGTCCAAATAGCGGCAGAAGTTACTCCCTTGATAATCTCTTATCTTCGTGCCCTACGCACCCCATCTTGCTCCCCATCCTCAGAACTCCAGCTTGTTTCCTAGCCACCTTTAAAAAGTGAGGGGGGAAAAAACCTTGATTTAAAAAATTCCATTGGAAACAAAATTTAGTTTTAAGCATCCGTAACAAATAAGTTTTGAAGAATGTTTATTCTTTACAAGCTCTACAAGCTCTAGATGCCTCAGGTTTAGCTGTGTTGTTTTTTTATGGTTACTTCTTTAAAATCTGCTGAAGTAAATCATAGTCCCCCATCAGACTGCAGAAACCAGTTTTTAACTTTTCACACGCACACACCCGCCGGCATTGGGTTTTTTCTCTCCTTTCTTGGCACTGCAGCATTCCTGGTAATAGCTTCAGGTCCTGAGCATATCTAACTGAAAGGGCAAAACTGCCCGAGTTTTCTCTTGACCAACCCAGCTCCCACCACCCTCCTAGCCCTTCTTTCTTTTGGATTTAACTGGCTCAGGCAGCTGCCTGCCTTCAGCCCGTAGGCGGGCAGGGGAACCCTCAGGATTCAATGAGATGACAGCTGCAAAGCCAGCACAAAAGGGCTCTGTACAGTCGTCGTTTGGAGAAGATAGAAAGCTATGGGTTAATGAGAGCTGACCTCCTTTAATTTTGGTACAGAGTCCCATAAAAAAATAAGGCCATCTGCATATACCTGAGCTACCAGTAACATGCACTGCCAGGGAGGGGAGGGAAGGTAGGGAGGCAAGAGATGTATTCTGCTCTGTAAGAGAAATCTTACTCCTATGAACCTCCCTGAGCTTTTAGTTTTTACATATACTTGGCATCAAATCTCACAGAAGGTCATCTGTGCTGGGTTCTTCTTTTAGGGCAAAGAGTTACATCAGTGCAGAGTTCTGAAGACAGGTTACTGCCACCGTTTTGTATGCACGGACGATGACATATGTGGATAATTTGAAAAACTGTGGTTTGTCAGTTTACGCCAAAGGATACTAAGCTTGGGCTTTAAACAAGAGTAGTTTGTCTTTTCAGTTTCACAGGATCAGAGAAGAGCTGAGGCTGCAAGGGATCTCTAGAGATTGTGTAGTCCAAACCTGCTCCAAAGTGGGGACAAGTAGGGCAGGTTGCTCAGGGCTGTGTTCACATGGGCTTTGAATATCTCCAAGGATGGTGACTGCACAGCCTCTCTGGGCAACCTGTTTACATGTTTGACCACCCTCACAGAAAAGAAGTTCTTTAAGTAAAATGTCCTGTATTGCAATTTGTACCTGTTGCCTCATGTCCTTTTGCTGGACACCACTAGAAGAGTCTGGCCCATAATCTTCTTTTTTTTTTTTTTTTTTTTTTTTTTTTTAATTTGTAAATTTATTTTTCAGTTTCTGGGATGCTCAGGCTCCTGATTAGACTTAAAGCATTTGTTAAATGCAGACTACCTGCAGTGATATCAGCAGCGCTGCTCATAGTACAAGAAGATATGGGACACTTGAGGCATTGCAGCGCCCTGGCTTGGGAGAACTCTTACAAGCCATCTCTCAGATATGCTCAATATAGCATCAGCAGATGATGGTCAGCACTCAACTTCATTAGCCACTCAATCAATATTATGCTTTTTCCTCTCTTTTTTTTTTTTTGTTGTTTTGTTTTCCTGTGGTAAACTACTAGCTCACAGCTTCCAGAAGCCATAGTTGTCTTTGCTGTACGCATCCAAGTTTTTATATAATACCCGGTTGCCTGATACT